TCCAACCTAGCGATGGCGATGGCCTTGTGCTCCAACCTACTAGCGATATATGCTCCTCTGCTTACCAACTATCCCCTCTCCAGACCTCCCCGCTCCTCTGCCCGGCGACCCAAAGGCCACGAGCGCGCTCGCGGCGGCCCCGGCAGCCGGAGGAAGGAGAGGTCTGTCAGGCAAGGAGAGGGAGAATCGTCGTGTGAATACATATAAGTCTCGGTGTGTGTTTTGGTAGAAGTTGTATGAAGTTGTAAGAGACACAGATCGGGACTTGGTGTTAAGGATTGCATATTAGGTCTTCAGCGTTTGGGTTGACATATGCGAAGCATCGTCCTGCCAAGGCGTAGATGCCCAAGGCCGCAGCACATGCTTTGCCCATCAGATCAACCACATGCTATTCTGAATTGTCTATACTTCAACCCTTACTACAGACGAGAATGTTTCGTCTGTTCCTTTTGTGTCTTGTCTTTCTGCCGTGCTTTGTGCCGCTTTTTCTTGTTCCTCCCTTTGTTTGTTGTTCTTGTTGAATGGACTGAAGATGTTGATTTTTCCCGTCCTTTTGGGAGAATTCTTCGGGACGAGAATTGCAGTATGTTAGCAGGTGTCGAGCATTCCACACACTGAGCAGATTGCGTTGCTTTTTCTCAAATCAAAAGAAGCGTGATACTGAAGCCTCAAAATCCCAAAGACAATTTCTTGTTAGATCACAAGCCGAACATGGGCATGCTACTTGCAGAAAAGAGTGATCAAAAGACTGCAAGAAAGCGCTAGGTTAGAATTGATTGCAAACACACACACACATTTAAAAAGATTAAAAAGACCGGAAATGGAGTAGAGAACACCAAAAGAATCTAAAGCAACAAAACGTAAACCTTGTCAAGAAAAACACAACTCGTTTCACACCAGCTGGATGACAGGAGGTAGCATTTAGCTGCATCGCCACACACCTAAGGTCCTAGCCGCTCTCAGGGCTGCGACGGAAGTAGGCAGGCTTGTCCGGTGTAGGGCCATCGATCGTTTTGCCAAGGTAGCCGACACCTTCCACGTCAGCGGAGGGCTGCTTGGAATCCCATTCCAGGAAGGCAATCCACACAACGATGATTGGCACGAAGATGACGATGGCATCCACTTTGCTGAAGCTGTCCGAAGCCTGGTCAGTGGCCAAAGCAGGGGCAGCAGGCAGTGCTGCAAGGACTGCGCCTGCCACAGCAGCTTCCTGACCACGCAAAGCTGGCTTGTTTGGGCCTGCCAAGAACGCTTGGTTCAACGTAAGCAGTCCGAAAGCAAGCAGGGCCACGGACAGCAGAACTGGTGCTCTTCGAGCCATGGTCGTGGCAAGGGGCTTCCGACTGAAAAAGGAACCCTTGATCTTGAACAAAAAAACCTGCAGTCAAGCGCACTTGAGAATCACCATTGATGTAGAGGCACATGAAAGCCGTATTAAGCAGCTGCCAACATGCATTCAAAATGAGGTGCGAAAGAAATAGCCAAAGATTTGCTTGGAAGAATGCAAG